ATACCCACCCACCCATACCTCCCCACAAAATACAAGAATATGACTTCATTTTGAAGTATTATGCAATCACCTCTACATACACATAGCAAAACACACACAAATCAAGACAAAAATATTCTTTTAAATAAAATTAAATATGCTATTGTTAATATTTGATTTTTAGTATACAGTATAATGTTTTTTTTTCCTGTTCCAAGATGGCAAATCCCTTCCCAAAAGAAGTGCAGGAAACCCTCGCTATTTGTGGGTTTGGCATTTGCGGTTTCAAATATTCGCAAATATCGAACCCGCATTTTAAATACACTTTATACACTTACAGGAGCTCCTCGAAAGCTCCACACTTGCTACCACCAGGCTCCTGCCATCGCTGCCAAAGCCATGCCCCGTCCCCGCCTCCAGCCACCAGGGTCACTGCATTCATGAACGCAGTTCCTTATTCACAGATTTCGCCATTCACAGGGGATACGAGACCGTATCCCCCATGAATGACGAAGGTCGCCTGTACTTCTAGGGGCAAGGGGAAGGACTTCCAGTGGCAAAGGTCAAGGGTCAGGACTTCTGGTCCTAATATGGTGACCAGGGGGTTGGGCACCTGTCAATGGGCAAGGCTACTCTTGTGGCCCTCGACAGCTCACCAAAACTCATTGAGCAGCCCTTCAGCTGAAATAATTGGCCACCCCTGATATAGCATAATCATATTATTTATTTTTTTCTCAAAATATTTTGAATTTTGGGGCCCAGATATTTAAAATATCAAGGTAAGTTATCACACATCACAAATCTTTAAGAGTAAAGAGACACCAAAAGTAACTTCTAATTCTCAAGCCACTGATTAAGGATATTACACAAATTCTGGTGGAAATTAAAAAACAGATTTACTGAAGAAAGAGTCTCTGTCTTCGAGTCATGCCTCTTAGCCTTCATTCCAATTCAGATTCAGAACAACAAACATCCTGCTAGCTTGACAGCCTGACAGAAGAACAGCTGCCAAGACTAAATGAACACTGTAGAGCAGGGATTGGCAACCTGCAGTCCACAGGCCAGATCTGGCCCCATAAAAGTCTTATCTGGCACAGGGCATTGTTGGCACAGAGCTGTGCCATGCTGCCCATTCCCTCTTCAGTGCTCCTTCCCCCTTCCCCATGCAAAGACTGTTGCTCCAACATATCTGTACTTCCCTTGCTGTAGAGGGATCGGGAATCTGCGGCAAGTGTGACTGCAAGGAGCTGGCTGCTTCAGGGGGCAAAGACTTCTGGCCCATAAGCACTAATGGGTCACAAGCTTTGGCCCACACTGGCAAAAAGCTGCTGACCCCTTTTGTAGGGGGATTCCTAGAAGCCAAATGCTGCTACCAGAAAGCACAAACTCTCTGATTCATAATTTTCGGAACAGGCTAATGACTTGGGGGCCTCCCTTCTTTAGGCTGCCAAATTTAAAATAGACTGAAGGAATCTGATTTTTGTAGGGTGAATGCTCACTTATTCCAGATGGGTGTTGAAATGTGAGGGAAACTGAAAAATGTGAGCAACTAAAATTTAAAAAAATTCTACCCTATTTTAAAAATGTTGGGCTTTAACAGTGTCCAAAGGATTCAGTTCAGCTACAGGAATTAAGATATTTCCATTAATCCATGTAGAACTTCCTGCACTCTTACTGAGTACATATGTATCTCTTTCTCTGAATAATTCAAGCCTCCACCTCAGTAAAATGTTTAAAATCAGATAAGCATGTTTAACCATATATATTATATGAAATACAAAATTATACATCTAATTACAATCAGTCACTTAAAAAACCCCATGATTTCTTGCTACCATATCTTTCCCTACAGACTTTTCTTCTATGAAAGATATAATATACCAATTAATCTGATGTGGAATTCTGTCTCATGGAAAAAATCAATTATGATTAATAAGATCCTTAGTGCTGCTCAATTATAACTTCCTCAAAGGACACAAAAAATCACACTTCATCACCATTCATCAGGCATTCCCCCTCCAGCAAACTACAGGAAACTTCATACCTTCCTGAACTTCTCCATCTGCTTGTAAAGATCAGGATCCAGCTCTTGAGAGACATCTTTCATCCACAGTAGCGCCCCTCGGTATTCAGTTCGATACTGTTCCATTCGGTTTACTGTCAGCCAGGTATCTGAGATAGCCCTATATCTAAAAGTCTCCACTTCTTGATACAGCCTGCTCAAAGGAGTACGCAACGCTAATCTAAACAGGGGAAAAAAACAGAATTTTAAACTGACCCCCCATCAAAAAAGTATAATCTTGAATCATAATCAAAAGAAAAAGAAATTTAACAGAGGTTGCTCTAACATGCATGAAACTGACAGATTAGACCAAAGGTCAGCAATATTTTTCGGCAGTGTGCCAAAAACACCACCTCAACTTGTAAGATGTTGGCATGCCAGGGGCAGATGGTGGGGGAGCCGCGAGGGGTCTGATCCTTGTTGTGATGTAGCCTGGAGCCTCTCCTCTGCCATCCATCCCGAGGCACATGCATCAAAATGCCTTTGTATGCCATGCTCTGGCACCTGTGCTGGCAGATGGTATGTGTGCAGCCAGCAGTGGCTGCAACAAAAGGTAATGTAAAATAGTGCTACTTTATTGTGGCAGACCTCTATTGACTCTGTAACAGGAGAGCCTGGGCAGCCCATAGCTGTCCACATTCTCCAGCTGCCCCAAGCCAGGTGCTCTGGATGCCTGAGGGGCCAGATCCTGAGCATCCTTGGACTTCCCACACAGGATTTGGTCCCTCAAGCCCCCCGAGCACCTGCCTGGCTTTTCCCACTTACAGAATCTCAGGGCACCTCTCTCTAAGCAGGAAAATTTGCGGTTCCCTGCTTACAGAGACCTGCCCCAGGATCTCCAGGCGTGCATCTCTGAAAGCAGAAAAAGCCATACAGGTACTGACACCAAAGCATGAGACCCAGGGCCTGTGCCTCCAAGCTAAAACCCATGTGGCCCCATGCCTCCATACCAGGACCTGTGCAAGATCCTGTGCTTCATGTAGAGACAGTTTGGTGTGGTCCTGGCAAGAAGGCACAAGTCGGCATGAGACCTAGGGAACTCCTGGTGTCCCATGCCTTCTCGCTGGGATCTGCAGACCCATCCCTCTGTGTAATGTATGGATCAGCATGGGTCCCAGTGTCGGGGGGTACCAGGAATTCTCCAGGATTGCATACTGCCTCGTGCCTCCTTGTCAGGACATGAAGCACAGGCTGGCATGTGGAATCATGGGTCGGCACAAGTGCCAGCATGGAGGCTCAGGCTGATGGAGTTTGCCCCTGGTCCTGAGCTGCCCTGTGCCTCTGCACCAACCTGTGCCTCTGTGTGACACATGGGTCAACATGGGTCCTGGCAAGGAGGATGGACTAATAAGGGACATGGCGAATCCCCAAGCAAGGAGAACACGCTGGCCATGGTCCTGCATTGGGTTCCAATGGGATGTGGGACCACAGGTAATGTGCAATTCACCCAGTGAAGTAGATCAGCTCTGACAGGACATCCACTTTGCTTGGTGACAACCCTTTTTACCCTTTGTGTGTATTTTGTGCAAATCATGATTTCTCTATACAAAATTTGAAACTTGAAGTTAATGAAAGAGGAGGATTTTTAAACACATTCTTTAGTGTCTGAACATGTAATCCTGTATTTATGTCAATTAAAAATGAAGACAAAGAAACTTGCTAACGGAAATTAACCTTAGAAGTCATAAAACCTTAGAAAGCAGGGCTGTGTGAAGTATCAGTCACTGATTCCATTCGGAGGAGATTCGGCCCGCTTTGGAGGTTGAATCTCTGAATCCAAATCTAATCAGGAGACCCACTGAGCTCTCCAAATCAGTTGGAAGCCTGTTTGATTCAGAGAGATTCAACAATTCTGCCACAGACACATATGTTTTTTCTATGTACCTTGAGGTACCAGGCATGGCTCATGAATGCTGAGATTGTGGGGCAGATGGAGTGTGCCATGGGAGCATCCCAGCAGCAGACCCAGAAGTGGACCAGAAGTACCAGAACTGGATCCACCACAGAGCGTGTGGGGGTCCCCCCTCCACCCCCAGGCTTGGCAACTGGTGCCTCCTGGGTTGGGGGGGGGAAGGGGGGAGCACCTGGGGTCCTCCCACAGCCAATTGCGGAGCTGGAGGGGATCCCCCGCACGCTGGGTGGCAGACCCAGAAGTGGACCAGAAGTACTTTCGGTCCACTTCTGGGTCTGCAGCCGAGTGCGTCAGGGACACCCCCCGGCATTCCCATGAGAAGCTCCATCTGCCCCACCATCTCAGTGTTCACAAGCTGCGCCTGGTACCTCGAGGTACATAGAAAAAACACATAAAGCTGTGTCTGGATAATTTGCTGATTCTCCGAATCAGAATTGAATCTTCAGTTTCAGATTCCGCTGTACTGAATTGGGACAGTGATCCAAATCAGCAAATTGAATCACTGTCCCCCAATTGGGCTGAAGCCGAATCCGAACAGAATACTGCCCACTCTGCACACCCCTATTAGAAAAACCTTATTTGTTTCTGGATATATACCATAGATCTGGCAAGACAGTAATGTTAAACCTCAGATCATTAATACTAGAGTTAAAAACGTAACATTTAAATGCACAGGTAAACTGAAAAGTCAAGCAAATAGTTACCTAAGTTTTCAAGGATTTTGAATATAGGATTTATAAAGGTTTAAGGTATTTTCTTAGAATTTCCTTACTCTGTTTTTAGGTTCAACTACGAAGAGGCAGTAGGGGACACTATTGCCTTCCTTATTCTTCCCACAGACTACCGTGATAAGGCTTTCAAAATAGGGCTTTTTTTTAACTTGTACTTTGCACCTATTACTGCCGTTTTCCCCTGCCTGTAGCCAGCGGCAAGCTCACTAGGACAAATTCAATCAGCAGTGCAAAGCTGATTTAAAACCTGGCTTAACTAGCTACCCGGGGATTTCCTTAGCATAGGGGAATATCTAGTTAGCGTAGGACTGGAACTGTTACCTCTACCTACTCTATAGCTACTGAGATGGCTGTAGGGATACAACATAAATAAAGAGCAACCATGACTCTAAGATCAACATGAGGATGGTTCAAAAATTCTGAGTGAGATGACAGACTAAACACAGGAAGGAAATAAGCAGCTTTAAAAAAACACCACCCCCCTTCTGAAAAATGTCATCTCTGAGTATTTTTAAATTGACAACACATTTTTTGTTTGGCCAATAGGTCATATCAAAGGTAAATTATTAGGCACTTTCCTTTTCTGTGTCATTGTGACAAGTTATTTAGCAGAGTTTGCAGATTTATTGGAATCTGACAGGCCATGCCATGACTGCTTCTGCTATAGCCTCAAACTTGTGACCCCTGTGCTGTCAACTGTGCGCCTTGGTGCCTGCACCACCGCAGCCCCCTATTAGTAGGGATCTACCTAAATCATGGTGGAAGTGTGCTGTGCATCAGCTCCTTTAAAAGCTTAAAAGGGACCTTTTTCCCGTGTTCCCCCCGTCACTGTTGATTGGCCGAGGGAACCCAGCGACCCCGCTCATGACCCTGGTGGCTCCGCTCACTGCTTGTTCTTGATCAGCCGAGAGGCAAAAACCAGTTTTAAATATGTTGCAGTTTTTATCAACAGCAAACAGCAGGGCCACCAGGGCCTCTCGGCCAATCAGCAGTGGGGAGGGGAGTGTGGAGAAATGAGCAAAATTAAAGGAGCTGCTACACAGCACACTGCCAGAGCAACTTAGGTAAATCCCTACCTATTAGACACTATCATTGTTGGATTTGATGCATGTTTTTTGGCATTTAAACAGTATGCCGGGTGGGTGAGGGGGCATGTTCTCAATTACACCCCACCTAACCATGGCATGCATCAGGGAGGCTGTTTGGAGGAAGAAGGATGCATCTATACCTGCAATTAGTGCGCACAAATAAACGCTGGCGCAGTTCACCCCAGAGTCAGCTGCTCCCGAGCACAGAATCTTCATGTGCACCTGGGACTGCAGCAGTTAAAGCTGGGGTGGAGCAGCCCCAGGCTGGCAGGGGCATTGAGGAGTCAGCCCCAAGCTCTGGGTGGGCACTGGAAGGGCTGGCTGGGCCACGAGGTGCTAAAGTGAGGGAGCGGGTGGCAGGTAGCCTTCTGCACCCTCAAGCCCCAGGCAGCCCCAGTCACATTCTGTTTTGGCACAGTTAATTATTCCACTGTAAGACAGTATTGTCCCCAACACTACTATCTTACAGTGGAGTTAATTAATCTACTGCACCCTAATACTGGCACTCGTGTAGACAGTGAGGCTTTACTGCGGAGCTAATTAGTCAGCTTCACAATAAAGCACACATGTAGGTGAACCTTGAGAGTATGCCCTGTAGCCACTCACCAACAACCTGGTGACAAAGGTCATGAGGGTAACTGTGAGGAGGTCCTCCAGAGAGTGGCTTCACTGCTGTATTACTGGGTTGGAGCAGGAATGATTGTGCAGTGTGCTCAACAGTGTCCCACCACAGAAGCACCAGTGCAGACACATCCAAAAGGTTGTTTAGTTTGCCATACCGTATGTTAGGACAGACTGGATTTATGTTATACAGTTTTTTGAGTTTTTTTGTTTTGTTTGTTTTAATCTCCTGTAAGTTATTTATGAGGCAAGTCAGGAGCACAAATCCTACTGAGTGCCTTATACCTTATGTTTTACATGAATAGCTCACTCGTGGCTCACCCTGGCTGTGCTAGTAACCAAATTCTAGCCCAAAATTAACATAAGATATTCTTGATGTTCATTATCCAATGTTTTGTTTTGAACCAAGCAGCTGTGCTGTTCACTAATGGAACCATGTTGAACTAGTCACTGAGGTCACTGAAAAAAATGTGAAGGCATAAAATTTAGTTCAAAATGAATAAAGCCACAGTACAACATTCCCCTACAGAAGATGAGACGCATACCTTTGCTGAGAAGAAAAGCAGAGGGCCTTTCCTGTCGCCTGCATCATTTTTCCTGCTCTGGTTTTATCCTGAGAACCCTGTGATCTAAGAAATTTCCCCAATTCATTTTCTTCCTGAGACAAAACTAATACAAAAAAAAAAAGCAAAAATCAAACATGTGCAATTTAACAGGCTATAACATTTTTAAAATGGCATAGTATAAAAACAAGGCAAGCCACTTCAAGCCACACAATACAGAAGATTTTTTTCTAATTAACCTTCATACAATTCCTGCACTTATGAAACAGAAGATCAGATTCAGTTGAGCACATCTGTCAGTGAGTTTGGTGTAGTGTAACAAGAATCTCAAAATTACCTTGGTGCTGAAAGGCAACAGGAGAATGCAGTATTTCTTGCTTGAATGCAAGTATTAGCCCAGTGAGATCATATGAAGCAACCTATTGTGGCATGACTAAGGTATTATTTCCCTTGATTGTTTTATCCCCCGTTTTTTTTCAAGCTCTGACAGTCAGATCCTCAACTTACATAAAATTCAAATGGCTCCTTTAAAGTCAATACTAATTTATACCAGTTAAGGGTCTGTCTGTTATATCCCCTCCCTACCTCTCTTCTGTTTTGTCTTTTTAATATTCTACTACAAAATTTAACTTTTAGTTTGGAATTTAATTACTCAGGCTAAATGCAATTTTTCAAAATTGCTTTGTGGAACTGTCTGATCATTTCATAATTCTTCTGATACTTCAAAAGCTGCATAAAAGTCTCACCCTTTGAATTTTCTCTGTGTGTATGGGGACAGGGTAGGGGGAAGGGAAGGAGTTATTTTATATGTTGGATGTGTCTAGTGTTGATATAGGTAAACATACTGCTGCATTATTAAGACACTGAACTATCACAGAATACTTTAACATGGCCTCTTTGTCTCCTCTTCCAGACCCCCTGTCCCTAACCTGCTCCTCACAAATCAGAATTCTCCATATTTAGTACCTGACTGCCTTCCACACCTACTCCTAGGTCTCTACATACTATACAAGATTTCATATTACCAAAATCAAATGACATATGAAAGGAGAGAAATAACATTCTTATTTTAACTGTAATGTTATAAAATAATTTATCTCTCTAATGCACAAGGCTGAGTGTCAATCAAATCTGATTTATGCCTACAATACCCCTAGGAGAGCTTACATTTGCCACGTGTTATTTGCCAGTATCATGTATTGTCACATATCAGCTGACCATACTTCAAAATTATTGTGGGGTGCTTCTGCTCCACAAAAATTGCTGCTCAATGAGCAACTTTCTGTGGCTAATCCACCATTTTTATCCAGGAATAAGCTGGATAAAACTTATTCTTAAATCAGACAGACTAATTAAACTTAAAGTTTAATTCTTATCAGACATTAAACTTATGGTATAACGTCTG